ATAAGAAAGAAATTAAGTGGAGCAGCATGTATGCCAGGGTCACTGAACTGCAGAGGAGAGTAAAGTGTAAGACTAGACAGGTAGGAAGGTCACAGGCTGTGAAAGACTTTAAAAGCCAAACAGAGGATTTTCTATTTGATATAAATTTTAGGGTGGGAGCAACTAACAATTAGGGGAATTATGGGAATTAGAAAACTTGAAAGGTTTGCACTTAGGCAGAAATCTGAAGGGAATTCTGAGTTCTAATATGGCATAGGTATGTAAGTAAAGCATTTCCAGCATGACAGCCAGCCTTCTGAAAGGCACAGAATCAGGTGATGGAAAGGCAGGTACAGGAAACAGCAAGTAGGCCAGCTTTATATTGTAACAGTGTGTGTGTGTGTGTGTGTGTGTGTGTGTGTGTGTGCATGCGCACTCAAAAGAGAGTGTATTAAAGTGTCATCAGTCTGGAAAGAGAGCAGGATCCTGATTGTCAATTTTTAAATGAAGACATTGAATTTGGGAAATTTCCAGGTACTCTCCCTCTGTGCCTCTCCACATATCCTTTTAATGCCAGGAAAATTAAATAGAATTTTTTTTTAACAAAATTGACCCAGAAAGCAAATCAGTGAGGAGTGGTGGTATTCTCTTTGCCAGGTTTTTCAATGCACATACAAAATAGTTCCCTGGACATTTCAGACAGGATGCCTTTCTTCCTTGAAAAAGAAGCTCTCTAAAAAGCTAGCTGCATAAGAACCACAAACTCCCCATGCTCATTAGTTTTTTTCTTAGCCCTTCAATTTCCCATATGAACATACTGATAGCATATGGGTAAAGTTTGTCCAAAAGTTTCTATTACTTTAACAATTCTACAATCCACTATACTTTATTGGTGCAGTGAAAAGAATACTTGTAACTAAAAGTTATCTTTAACTCTTGAAAAAATGAATTACCCCAAATAGATGTGAGGGAGAAAAGTGATGAACAGGTCCACTATTTTTCTCCTCAGCTCTTCTGTCTTCTTAATGTAAACAGAAGGTATGAATCTTCTGGCCAATCAGGCCAGAGCTTGGGCTCTTTCTCTTGGAAATTGTCTTCTCTAATGCAGAAACTCCCCTGCTCACCAGTCAGCTCTAAGACCTTCATAACTCTCAAACTTACAAGGCCACCTCCAAGCGTGGACATGTTAAAATCAAGGTCAACGTTCAGTCATCTATACCCAGGAAAACAAACAAACAAACAAACAAACAAACAAACAAACAAACATAAAATAGAAGAGGCAGCAGGCAGTAAGGGGTTCATAGATTTAGTCCCTAACTTGCTTAGGGAGAACATATTAAAGCTATCATGTGTTCAATGTCTTATGGTGGTTGGTGTGGGGGAAAGAATACACTATCCTCCATCCTTTATGCGAAGTACCAGAACTTCATAATGTCACTTACAGAGCTGAAGGGAGAGAATATCAGACAGGGGGTATAATAGCTATTTTTCAAAAAGTCCACTAAATCATCGATTCTTTTTCTAAGTGAACAATGATGCACTAAATTTCTCTTTAAGGATTTGGTATCCAAGATATATATAAATAATATATATGTATATGTAATACATATATGTGTGTGTGTGTGCGTGTGTATAGATGAGTATAATGAAAAGTCATTCTCAATAGATAAGTGGTCAAAATATATGAACAAATAGTTCTCAAATGAAATACTGCAAATTGTTAATAACCACTTCAGAGTATGCTCTAAATCACTAATAACAAGGAAAATGAAACTCAATACCACCCTGATATTTAACCTTATACCCTGAAAATGGGTAAAGATGACAAAAGATCTAGTCAACACTGGATAGATTGCAGAAAGATAGGCATACTAATGCATTGGCAGTGAAGCTGTGAATTAGTATTAACATTTTAGAAAGTAATTTGCAGTTACATTAATAAAGTGACTGAAATGTCCATACTCTTTTACCCAGAGATTTCATTACTGGGTTTACACTCAAAAAAATTTGTAAGAAGAGTCGCCACAAAAAAAAAATACTAATAGCGGTATGTTTTTTTGTGCTAGTAAAGAATTAGAGGAGAAAAAAAGTGTCTATCAGTTGGGGAATGGTAAACAAATTATGGTGCATGATGATAATGAATTATTACTGATGAATGTGATCAGTAACGAGAAGCATCTACATGTTCAAGATCTACATGAACTGATCAAAAGTGAAATAAGCAGAGTCAAGAAAAGCCTAATCATGATGACTACAGCAATGTAAATGGAAAGAACAACCACAAACCCACACACAGAGTGAAGGCTACGAAATTATAAAAAACAAGCATGGCTCTAAAGAAGATATATAAGGAGAAATTCATACCTACCCCTTTGTAGCAGGATACAAGCATTATACATTGCACATATTTCAGACTTTTAAAGTATTGGTGAGCAAATGTTGAATTTTCCTTTACTTTTTCTGTTTTTGTCTTTAAAAAAATACTATTTGTTATAAGGGATGGCTCTCTGGGAGGGAGAAGGGAGGAGATAATGAGGAAAATGTATTAAAAATCAGAGTGTGTAGGATGTTGCAACATCAGATATCATGACAGACAAATCCTGTTTCCCCTGAAATTTTATGTGAGAAATAGACTTAAAGAAGGAAAGCATTCTGTGAAAAGTTAGAGCTAGCTCATTTATAAAATAAGGGAAATTCCTAAGTTACTTGTTAAGTAACATTTATTGCTTATGAAAAATGATTTGATTCTCAAAACCAAAATTCTACCTTACAGGCTTTTTTTTTAAACAACAAAGTGTCTCTTGTTCACATATCAAAATGATTCAAGATTCTCAGAAATATTTCGCAATGAAATGATCCTATTTCATGACCCTCTGATATTAAACTTCAAATGAGACATAAAAAAGGGAGATATATTCTCACCAAAAGTATTAGCCACTGTGATGAAGGAAATCCAGTGTAACATCTAAGAGGGATTCCTTTTAGATGGTGTCAACTTCCAGATGCTCCTGTCTGTAGATGGCATTGTGCTGATTTCATTAAGCCCCAGAACTTTTCAGAGCCCCTGGAAGAGATCTGTAACCACTCAAAGGTGTTTGTCTTGCCCATCTACACAGGAAAGACCAAGTGGATAGAGATTATCTATTGTCCAGATTTCACCATGCATTTGGATGGAAAGCTTATACAGTATGTATATATGAGACAGGCAAATATAGATGGACAATGAGTTGGGCACAGGGTTGAACTGGAAGAGAAAAATGGGCTGGATTATTTTTAGGAAATGGCAAAGCTCCTTTTCTGACCCCAGTTTCCCATGAAAGCGAAGGCCTATCATTTCAATACTAACATTCCATAGGCAATGTTATCTGGACTTGAAACATGGAATACAATTGCTTCTAAAGAACTAAAAAATGTATTTCATCTGGAGGGCAATATGGGGGAGGGTGAATGTGAGCAAGCTGCATCATTTAGCCAACGCTGAACTCAGAAGAACAGGAGTGCAAGATATGATAGAGTACCATGCAATTGGTCCTTTAAGCCAAAGGTCACAATAAGAAATAAGACTGTCACTTGGCAAGAAACAGAGATGACAGATGGACAGCCAGAGTATTCCCACTAACACCCTTCTAACAGAAAGAGAAAGTGAGGAAAGCTTCCAGCAAGTTGGGTGGACCCCATGTGGCCAGCTTTGAGCAGGATGGGAAGGCATGGAAGGATTGCAGTCTGTATCTTTGGAGGAAACTACCAAATAAATGAGATCACAGATCCATTTTAGTATTTGAGCATAACGTAATAATGCTGCCCGAATGAGATTTCCCCACCCTCCACTCCCGTTAAAGGGTTTTGAGCTCCTTGGAAATAGGGAGCATATTAACTTGCAAAGTGGTTTTAATCAACTGTTCCTGCTCTATTGCTCTATAGTGCATTGCCTGAAAAGCCAGAAAAGTTGATTTCCCACAAGCATGCCAGACCTTGAGGTTGTAAAATTAAAATGGAAATTGCGCAGAGAGTAGTACATAGCATTCTGGACTTGTTCATACTTGAAGTCATGTTAACTTTCACTTTGGGGTACGGAGTGTGGGGCTTAATCCTTGTTTATATTGAACCTTCTCAAACTTACTCCTGGAGATCTTTTCGTCTATTAGGCCCTCTCTTTTCAGTTAACTCACTGAAATATTGAGCATAGCAATCAGGTGAAAAAAGGCGATCCCCAAACGTGGTCTCCAGGTGAAGATTCCACTAGGTGAGGAGATCCAGAGAACGCAAGAAGGTACATAGACTCTCACGCATCATGTCCCCCACCTTACCCCTTCCCCTTCCTTCCTCCCACTGACTTTCCTCCAGGGAAAAATAGGAGCGGGCTTTCCAACTTTGCTCCAATCAGAGCAGCAGCCCCTCCTCTGGGGTCCCCCTGCTGGATGATATGCAGCCGTCCTGGAGGCAGTTGGAGAAACTTTTCAACCGCTCCCCTCCCTAACCCGAGGAGGCGAACATACCCGGACTCCAGCTCCCCCCCCCCCCCCCCCCCCCGTCTCCACACCCTCTTTCTCTCCCCGCCCCTAGGCATTCCCCAGTTCTTGCCCAACCCCGGGAGCTAGTGATAGGCCGAGCGCTGGGCACTCATTGTGTATATGCAAATGAGAGCCTCTCCTCGCCGGGCGCTGCCTGGACCCAGGCTGCTGTTGCCGCTCCTGCCATCGCCTGCTGCCTGTGCTCCTGCCTTTGCTGGGGAGTTTGGTGCTGTCATGCGGTGGCAGTTGATCTACCGGACTGCTCTATAAGTATGAGAGAGGAAGACCCGGAAGGGGGCTGAAGATGAAGGTGTCCATGCCTGGACCATTGCTGATTGCCAAACCAGTGCAAGCTGGAGTCCAGCGCGGAGCCGCAGGCTGTGAAGTGCGGGTCTTAAAAGCCGCGGTAGCAGCCACTAAGGAAGCAGCTGTGGCTGCGGCAGCAGTCGCAGCTGCGGCGGCGGCGCCAACTGCAACTGCAACAGTAGCACTAGCTCTGTGGCCGCTGCTGCCACAGTTGCCATGAGTTGTGCGGAGGTGATGTATCACCCTCAGCCATATGGAGCAACCCAGTATTTGTCCAACTCGGTGGCAGCGGCATCCTGCCCCACAGCTTATTACCATACCGCTCCCCAATCCAGCCAGCAGGTGAGTCATTATCCTGGGGTAACTGGGATGGGGAGTCTGGAACTTGCGATCTGTTCTGATATTGAGGAGTAATGACTGCGCACTCTCGGGACAGCTAGCCGGGAGATGAGGAGTTTGTGCAGCCTGTCCAGGATACTGAGGGCTTCACGGTGGCAACCTATCCAGAAGAGGAAGGGAACAGGTGGAGGGAGGAAGGGGAGAGAGATGAGCCAGATTTGGAAAGCACAGAAAGGCACCTGAAGTCTATTGTTGGGAATTATGTAGCTGGAATCTGCTTTAAATTGTTCTGGACTGCAGACCACTTCAAAAATAGCCCTTAGTTCTTATCGTACAGTTTTTTGAAGCTCAGTAGGTGATGAGTCTTTTTTAGAATTTATAATAACAAGATACACAAATAAAACGATCTTCCTTTAAACCAAATACTTTGTTTTCTTTGGAAGGGAAAAGGAGGTTCAAGCATCCAGATATAATATTACACTGTCAAATTCAGCTGTCAGGAAGAATAACTATAGTATGACAGTGAGGTGAAAGTAAAAATGGGCCCCTGGGCTGCTTCTGGGTTCCGGGGCCTGGTCTCTACTTCCCTTGAATATGGGATATTAAAGCTGAGCAGAAGAGGTCCAGGGGAGTAGAGCAAGCTATGTGGGCAAGTCATTGTAAGGAATGGCCACATATTGTAGACTGAGATGTCCATCCAGTCCCAGAGAAGGCTCACATGAGAATCCCTGGTCACAGGTATTGCTAGGCATAGATCAAAGATTAGACAGGCATCAGGAAGAAAGAACTGTGAGATTAAGCAACAGGGATGGAGTATATTTTGAGGGAATGCACTGTGCATGAATGGCATGGACTCCCCTCCTCCTATGAAGTCACTGGGTGTGTATGTTTCATAACCTGGGTAGCACATAGAAAAAGGATATGTTGCAAGAGGTTACACAAAGGCAACGATCATATCTTTAGCTTTTGGGGTCAAGGTGCTTATTTGGAAGGCCTAGATAAGCATATTTTATGCAGAAAACTCTACCAAGATATGAGACAGGGTTAAGGAATACCCATCCCCAGAACATTTATACTTAGGTGTTCAAGATTAAGTTGTGCCTCTACTTTTTATCAAACTGTGTCCCCCACCTCCCCCCTTTAAAATTGCTATGCCACTCTAGTACTAGTCCTTGGCACATACCAGCACTAATCTTTGGAAAGGAAGACTAAAGCCTATTCAGGGATTAGGTAGGAATTGCTGAATTTCACTGATTGGCAGGGGAGGGTTAGTGCTTGCATTTCATCTAATAACCAGTATGAGGCTTGGTAGGGTTAAAGAGGAAGGATTTCCACTTATATACTGTATTGCTTCTTATCATCATCTCTTAAGGCTAAATTACTTATCTGGGACAAGAGAAAAAAACTTTATTTCTTGACATTTTGATTTTGATGTTTTTCTTTTTCTTTCAAAACATGTAAGCACAGAGCAGGGTAAAGGAAGCATGGGAAAGGGATGTTTACCATGAATTCTATGTTTCATGTCAAGACCCTGTATCAGGAGATAGAAGACAGATTCACCCCCCCCCCCCACAGACTAGTCACTATAGTTGCAATGAGTTGTTTGTTAGTAAAAACATAGGACAGCATCAGAAATGGATAAATACTTTGCTATTCTCACCCCCCCACACACACATTAGTACAAGAAGTTGGCATCTTTTCCTTTTCTTAGTCTTGTAAAACTATTAATAACCTCTCCTTAGAAATTATAGGAAATTATCTTTGGCATGTCAAAAAAATTTTTTGTAATATTAACTAGCAATTAACTCTCAGTAAAACTAAAAGTTTTATTTATAGAAGGTAAAGTTGAGAACCAGGATTGTAAATCATCAAATTTAGGATTTGATCCAAAATGACCTGGAAACTTGGTCTACATTACAGTATCTGTATGCCCAGAAAATCATGCCATAAATATTAGTTTGTGCCTAAACTACCCAAGTGATGACAACCACAACAAAAATAAACAAAAATCAAACTGAATTCCTGTACTTGGCCTAAATTAGCCCTGTCTGAAGGTTATTTATAATAGCAGGTCAATTAACCCTCCTCCCTTACTTTGTGGTTATGTACACTTGGTAGTGCTTGGCTGATAGATTTGAGTTTGAGATTTTTAGTGTATAACTGAACATTAAATTCTAATTTTACCTCCCCAAATGTGGTAGGATGACCACATTTTCAACTATGTAACTATTTATCACTGCCTAGTTGAAATGAAGAAATTGTTCCATTGAACTATCAGCTAGTAAGAGTTTTGTACTTTAGTTTGATGACCTATATTTTTTAACACACACAAAAAAAGCAAATCAGGAAATTCTTATCAGACTGACAGCATTTTTAGACTATGTGGTGCGTGGGTGAAGTAGGACTAATATTGACTTGGCCCTAATGTAGTCATCTGAGAATACATTTTTTTTTGTTGTTTTTGCATTCCATAAGGTTTTATCATTATTATCCATGAAGATTGTTTTCTCCGTACATGGGAAGTGACCCCTAATAGCATCTTGACTGAGAGACAAAAAAAAAGAGAGCTACAACTCTCAAATTCCTGCAACATTTCAAAAATTTATTTATGGAAAAGCAAGAGAGGAAGGGAAGCAGAAAAAGTGACATGGTCCAAGAGGCAGAGGGACCATCCATTAATATTATCTCATCTGATGGAATGATAGAAAAGAGAAGCAAAATTTGGTATGAATGGTTGCCCTTTTTTTTTTAACGGGTATCAATATGTTCCCCAAAATTGATTTTTCTGGCAAATCTCTACTGAGCTGGTGTCTTTAGAAACCAATAGATTAACACCAATAAAATTAACACTGACCAATATTCTGCATTTTCTGTTTATATATTTTCCTTTCCTTTTAGTGGGAGTTCAGATAACTTTTTAAAATGATTTGAAAATAGCAAGCTGCCTTGCCCCTCTTCCTTTTCCCAAAAAGGAAATATCTAAGTTTAAAAATGAAGCTTTCATTTTCCTTACTATGATTATGAAATATTACATTACATTACAGACTGTAGATGAGTGGATGCATAGATAGACACATTTAGATATCTTCAGACACATTGTACAATAGTCATAAAACTGGAAGAAATCTTAGAGATTATCGTGCAACTTCCACATTTTTTGTAGATGAAAAAACTGAGGCTGAGAGACATGTTGCTAGTCACATTGGTAGTGATATAACAGAATGGTGATTCAAAACCAAGTCTATTGACTTCAAATCTAGGAGTCTTCCATTGAATTGTGCTCCCCGTCTTATAGCAGGAAATTCATTAACAAATTGTTAGTGCTTTTACAATAATTCCTGTCCGTGGTGGGCTTCTTTAAAGGACACAGCTATAGGTCTCCTTTTCTCCTGAAGCACTCAAGTTGGAATGTTTAGTCATAGAAACATCACTCTAAGCTATACATGTCACGAGGGTGTCTCCAATGTACTAAGAAGGAGCCTATTCATCTTAGATCTGCTGTGCTTCTCAGGCACACCCGAGACTACCTGAAAGAATTCAGTGGTTCTGTAAATGTGAGTAAATTATAAATGCAACACTTTCATGCCAGTGCTAGAATGTCTTTAGAAGTATGTGGAAATTTTTCTCTGTCCTGCAGGAAGGTCTGGGACTTTCTCAATAGATTTCATGCCACCTCTGCTTAAACCCCTTCTCATTGCTTTCACTTCCCACTCTCATACCCATCTACTTCAGGACTTACTGTCCCCTCTTCCTTTATCTCACCACTACACCCCCCCCCAAAAAAAAAGGAATGGAAAGAAAAGATAAGACATTTCCATACATTATGGCCTACTATACTGCAATAACTTCAAGAATCAGAATAAAATTTTGAAATAAATATAGAGGAAAACTGAGGGACATAAGTCATGGATTAAGGAGCTCCATTCTTATCTAAGGAGCTTCCCATCTAAATATAAGCTGGATCATTTTCAAAATTCCTCTTTATTTGAAATGATAGATTTATACAGGAAGTTTTCTAAAAATGAGCCGCTGTGTTTTGTGACTTCCAGAATAAGTTTACAATATGGTCATACTGTGAGCTTGGCAAACGTCTGTAGCTATTGATTCTGACTACTGTTTAAGGGAGATAGCTGAGTTAGTGTGTCTTCAAATATTAATTTAAAGTAACTGACTTTTGTTGATAGAAGTTCAGTTATAAATCTAAAAGAATTGTTTAAACTTAAACTTCCCTCTGATGTTGCATACATCATGAGAGTTGTATACACATGCAGATGTGGGGCACCCCAAACTGATCTCTTGGTAATGAAAATTCATATACAGTGGATGCTTTGACCTTGAAGTTTATGATTCTTCAGCAGTTCTTAGTAGTGTATTTCTTTAAAACTTTTGCATGGAACAACATTACAAGGAAAACATTTTTTCTATCAGTATTTCATCTTGTTTTTGTTTTGTTTTGCTTTGTTTTATTTTGTTGTTGTTGTTGTTGTTGTTGTTGTTTTACAAAGCACTGAATCCAGTTAGCAAAGAAACAGTCATTTATATTTTCTTAATCGTTTGGGAAGCATTATTAACAAAAACTATTGGGTCCCAATATATCACTGAGTGAAGCCTACATTTTACCTCAGTGGGGTAAAAGAATAGAATTAGACACTAAGTAGATTGACCATACAGTTAGCTTATTTAAACCAGAGGATCTAATTTTCTTGCAACTGTAAGCAAGGGCTTAAGTAGATTTGTAGGAATTCATGCAGGCCCACTTTGAGAAAGAGCAGTCCTTATAATTCTCTTCTGCACAAATTAACTTGACAGAGGGACTTAGGAGCTTAAAGTGTGTCATAGTTCCATGCACCTAATAAGTTTCCAGCCAGAAAATCCAAACCCGGATGAAAATTAAACCTTAATATAACCAAATGAAATTGTTGTCTCTGGCAGCAAACCAGAGTGATCTGTACCACAAAGAGATGGGGAAATGATCATAATCTATAAAATCATATACGTGATAT